CTTGAAATCCACACTTTACTATTAAATTGTAACTTAAATTATATAACCTTTCAATTGACTATTTGTTTCCTCCATTTAACTTCAATTAACACACTATAAAATATGATTATAACTCCTCTGATTTAATTATTTTAGAATGTAACTTACATCATATTTTATCCTATAAATACTCATTTTTACATCCTCCTCCACCATATCTGATATTCTCAATATTTTCTTTGTTTAATTTTTAATGTTCTTGCATGGGTTGAAAGCTCAATTAAGATATAATTTGTAAGAGCTTGATTATATATTTGGTTAAAACTTTTGTTTTCATTTATATTTCTTCTTTATTTTATGTACTTCATCATTTTTTCATTGTTTTTATACTATTAAATGTATAATACATATGTATAATAATATTTTATGGCTATAAGGAAATTACTTTATCGAAGGGATTCAAATATATTGATTTCTGACCATCGCACCATAAGAAAATCAAGCTAAATAAACCATTTTCATTGTTTTACTTTATATGTTTTTTTCTTTCTCACATATTCATGTATATTTATTTTATTTTCAAAGTATGTAATTATTTTAACAAAATATTTTTTTGTTATATTCAAACCAATTTGTAAGACATTGAAATAAATAAAATTTTATACACAAATAAAGGTAACTTTTGTGTATATTTATAAGTTTACACACATATTTGGATAAATTTCAACATTTTTAGTGGTTGTTTTGATAAAGTTTGAAAATGGGGTAAATTTAAAAAGTGGTATTTAAAGGGGTATTTTTTAAATTCTCCCAATATCATTCCTATTTTTATCATTAAAAATATTATTGTTTTATCAAAAAATACTTAAAAGTACTAAAAAAAATTACTATCAAAATTGATTAATTGAACAATTAATCAACGAATAAATTCAAAAGATATGGATGTATGCTTCTATTGTATGATTTAAATAAATAACATGTAAAAATGTCATAAGCATTAAAATTTATTTAATATATTTTTTATAAGTAATAAATAAATTAAAATAATTAAATAAATATATAATAACCCGCGCATATGCGCGGGATATTACCTAGTAATTAGAAAAGGTAAGTAAAAAAAAATGGTAAGAAAGATCTTAAAAGTGGCAAAGTTTTTGTACCGCTTTTTTCTTTTCCAGCTTAAGCTTATTTGGTCACAAGAAATGCGTTTGATCACAATTCCCACATAGAGAGTGTAAAATCTTGTTGCATCTTTCGTTTATTTAGAGGCATTGGTTATAGGAGAGTCAAACGTGTGAGGTATTTGTCGTACCTTGTTTGTCATGAGCGCTAACTCAAAAAGGGAACCCGAGATTAAACATCTAAATCAGAGAGTCTGATCATAGTTCATAGACCAATGGCAAGGTTTATGAACTAGAAAGACTAACCAATTGACCTGTTAAAAGACCAATCACTAACTCATAAAGCTAATCAGTTCACATATTCATCATCCTGCATCTTCAACTGTAGAACCACAATTCTGTGCAAATCGGAACTCTACACGGTTTCATACACTTGATTGCTCGGTCACAACAATAAGCAGACCGGGAAAAAACATCGGATTCTATTGTAAATGAACATTCTTTCTCTTATCAAAGATATATAATCTCACCATCTCTCTCTCTCTATGTGTGTCTCAAAACGTAGGCAGACACCGGTGTCTTCATTCTTTGAGTTCTTCAGAATCATTCAATACAAAAATGTACCTAAAAACAAAGCAAACCCCCATGAAATTTCTCACCAATTCTCCAAACCCTTCAAAAAAATCAAAACAATGAAAGCAAGAAAACTCTCACTCACTTGCTCTTCAATGTTCCAAGTTCCCTAGCACAAAACTCTATAAATCAAGACTCTTTTGTACAGTAACAAGGCGAGAGGTCTTCAATGGCGGGGAAGAATCACAACATACCTCCAATGTATCCCGAAACCCAGCTTCATTCGTCTTCAACATCACCGGCAATGGGAACCTCACGCCTTTCGCCGCACAAGCCTGATGCCTCGGTTTAATCCGATTCTCCAAACTAAACGAGAAATACTGAGGAAACTCGAGAACCTCTCTCACATCTCTCCCCATCTCCACCATTAAATAATTCAACTTGGGGTCATAGTTCTCAGCAATACTGTAATTAAACAGCTGCGGGAATCTCTTAAACATAGCCGTGGCGCTACGCCGGGAGAATCCTAGCTTTTCAAAGTAATCAATCCGTGGTACTAGTTTATTCTCGACGCTACAAGAGAGCAGATACGTATGTTTATGCGGATCTAAGATTCCGATTCTCTGGAGGAAGTAAAGCGTTGGTCTGAGCTGGTGATCGACGCTACAGGCGAGAAGACGAGGACGACGGCGTAAGGCTTGACGGAGGTCAAAGATAGAGTCAACGCCGACTTCGCGGAGGAGGAAAGTGATGACTGGGATTGTGTGTGAGTTAAGCGGTGAAGTGAGAAGCTCGGGGCACATGGAGACGAGGCGGCGAAAATCTGGTAAGGTGAAGTTGATTGGTGGAGTGGTCATGTAATCGACGACGGATTTAACGGCGGAGAGAGCGGTGGAGAGGAGAGGAGGGTGACGGTTGATTAGGGTTAAGAAATCGATACCGAGTGAATCGAGGTAAATGAGTTTCTCGTGGATGGAGGATTCTAGGGTTTCGGTGGTCGTTGAGACCGTGGAGGAGGAGAAATCGGTGAAATCTGGGGATTTGAAGAGTGAAGAAGAAGAAGTGTTTGGTTTGAAGGAAAGTGCGGGAAAACTGTGGAAGCGGAGGCGAGAAAGAGTGGGAAAATTGTGGTGAAGGGAAGGGAAAGAGGAAGAAGAAGAGAGGAAAGAGAGAGCTTCTTGTTGCATTGTTCAAGAGACATCTCACACTTACATGGATGATTCGATTCGATTGAAGCTCTCTCTCTATCTCTCTGTGAAGGTAAGTGATGATGATGATGATGAAAGGATAAGAGTGGAACAGAGTGTGAGAGATTTTGAAGATGGGGATTTCTTTTGGAGTGAAGGAGAAAAAGGGGATAGCATATCTTAACCGATCCGGTTTAAATCAAAACTTAACTGGTTTATTCCAATCAATATTCGATTCGATGAAGCCTCTCTTTTCCTTTTCTTTTTTAAGCCCACTGGGCCGTATAAAGGCTACATCTTTTTATTATATTCTGGCTAGTCTCAACATTCAAATTTCATACACTAAATTTTGAAGTTATTTCATAGAAAAAATTCATTTATCTTATAAATTAGAATTTACTAGTCATTTAACAAATAGTATTGTGGACATGATTGTTGAACCAAAAAAAAAAAGTATTGTGACATGATCACATATGTCAATTTTTTCATAGGAAATTATTTGCATGAGTCAATTGACATAATTTTTTATGATCTTAATAGTCATAAAAACAAAATTCCAAAGACCATCGACGAAAATTGACTCTAATAAATCTTTTGTGGACATAGAAACTTTATATTAAAGTATTCTTACATCATTGGTGTATTCTTATATCTTCTGTAACAAAACTTCTTGGAGTACTAGCATCAGTCTCTTTCGAATCCCCTTGGAGAAGAGCATGTTTCAACATCATTGAACTTTGCATTCTCAATTTCTCAAGGTGAAAAATTTATTCTGATAATCTATTATCGATGTCAAATCCATTAAAATTGTCACCAAACCAAAGAATAACTTATCTTTAGATCATGTAAAACCCTTACGAGTTATCCGTATTTTTAGGAGCGTAAATTTTTTTTCATACATAAATACGCAAACGAGGTGAGTCATTTTTATATCATGAAATCAAGTTGCATGGATCATCAACAACAAATAAACATGTTTGCATAAAAAATGCTTAGATATATCTTGATATTTACTTAGTTAATGCTTATATTATTTATTTCGAAATAGAAAATAGTTAACATATTAGGAAGTAGGGAAAGATTAGAAATTCTTTTTCAAAAAAGAAATAGGAGAACCAAAACTTTTGTGAAGCATCTATGGAGCCGCAACATTGTTCTTTCAAGTCTGATGACGGCTCAGTTGCTTAGTAGTGAGCTTGAAAATGCTATATCTGCTGGTCTTGAGCTTTATCACGCTCTAACAATCACTAAAACAATGATAAATTCGATTTTGAAAACTTATGATGAAAAGTTAGTTAATACTTCAAATAATTGAGGATTTAGAACCAGTCTTACGTTCAACGTTTGTCCAAAAACAATACACACTCTTATTTTTAGTATATCATTCCAAGTTTTAGCCTTTTTACCACGTCAAATTAAGACTTTGTGTATGTGTTATATCCTACCTCAAACTATAATTCAATTGCTTTACACAGCATGAATATAATTTTTCAAAAGGAAGGTAAATGAATAATACACATAAAAATAGATTAATACACAAATCAAATTTTCCAATAATCACCAAGAAAAAAACGAGAATTCGAAAAAACAAATTTCAGTAGACTAAAATATGAATGGACAACCTAAGAGTCGTCGCTTTCCGAAGTGAAAGTGTCGGTAATATCGTCCCACACCATTTTGGACACAAAATCGTCGTGTTTTGGAACATACTCCTGCAATTACAAACATGCATGCATTCAGAACATACTCATGCATTCAGTTCATTTATGTATCCTCTTTTGGTACTCATGCATTTTACTTTTATATATAAATAATAAAATATCAGTGAAAGACACAAAAACAAACCTCAAGAAGTTGAAGTAATTGATGAGCGTTCGGAGCCGAGACGATGATGCGACGGGCAGTGGATGAGACGAAGCCTTCGTCTACTGCCTTATCTATAAACGTCAATAGTGAATCGTAGAATCCATCCACGTTCAATAGTCCCACCTACATTGTTTTAACTTCACATTATGTACAAGGGGTACGTCTTCATGTATGCGTATGTTTACATGTTTTATCAATTTCTATAAGCATTCGGATTTTGTACGTAACGTACGATATGGTTCTGGAGTACTCCTTAATTATGAATTTAATTATCAACGTTATATCACAACCTTAGTTAAGACATTATTCCGTGTATATATATGACTTCATCTCACATGCTTAGATTCTCTTTATACACATGACACAAAAACATCTCTAATTTCTTTAACTATGTTTTGTCGGATAACCGTAATTACCGGTCGAAAATTCAAAGTAATGTATTCATCGTATCTACAAGAATTGACGTTAATTACCGGTTTATTGTGGATCCCAAGTTGAGACCAGGTGATGACTTCCAACAGCTCCTCAAATGTCCCATATCCCCCTGTTTTGTTTGTCAAATAACAACACCACATAAATTATTTTATTAACCTTATAATGTTCTTAGATATTATAGACATCTTTAATCATTTCATTCTTTATATATACATAAACTGAAAAGAATAAAACAAAAAACTTGCAAACAAACCAGGAAGTGCTATGAAGGCATCGGCTTGGCGACCCATTTCAGCCTTCCTTTGGTGCATAGTCGATACAGTTATAACTTCTCCTATTGATTCACCAGTTATCTATAAACACATAACATCATTTTATAACATCCATCATAATCATGTTTTGATTCACATATATTTTACTAAATACTCAACATCCAATGTAAATATATGACTTGGTATATATTCAGTTAAAATGTATAGTTAATTTGTAATTACCTCTCTTGGTGCTAGGGACTTGGGAATGATCCTGCGCATAATATCAACATCTAATGTAAATAATTACCAATTAATAAAGTATTAATCATTAATTTCGTTTAGTCACCTTACTTTGTAATGGTCAAAGATTTTTATCCTTTCTTTATTTTTCTTTCGGTTTAAGGTTCAAATTTCTTTGAAACATTAAACTTCCAATTATTAGTATATGTTTAAATAGAGCTAAAGACAAGCAGCTGCCTTTACGCTCGTTGGCCTTAGATTTTGTCTAAATAATAGTAATATACAAAAGCGAAGCCAGAGAGCATTTTGTTCTTATAATCATATTAATTCATGAGTATAATACGAATTGAAGCAATCAAATTGCTATTTATGATAATGTTACCCATATGAAAGGCAGGACAAGAACATGGGAAGAACACAAAAGAATGATGTAGTGTCGCTTTGAACGTATTAGATAAGTTGACACCTCTAATACTATATTGTTTACTAAACTTTTAATAATAAAAATGTATATAGAGATAGATAAGATACCCAAGAACATGACGACCACCATCATGAACAGCCTGAGAAATGAGACCCATTAGCCCCACGCTTCCTCCTCCATACACCAAATCGATGTTTCTCTCCACCTATATGGGTTTATTTAGTGTGTTAATTATTTAGTGTTTTAAACAAGTACATTTTGTATTCAATGTAAAAACATTAAACATTACTAGATGAGTTTATTAGTTATTATTAATCTTTTGTTTTAACACAACACGAAGCATGGTGGGATTTTGTTAATTGAGGAAGTGAATTATACATCGAACACTTAGATAATATACATGCTCGACGACTATTCACAGAGACACAGACATACACGTTTTATGTATAGTACTTGTATTATACATATCACATTGATACTTGTATATGATCCGAAGTTCTTTTCAGCTAATTATGGTTAAATGTATTGCAAAATGAAAAAAAAACGAAAAAAAAAAAAACATACTGGCATATAACGAAAAAAATAGTTAAAAAAACAGAATCTGTTATCGTAATATAATTTTTAATTAAGTGGTTAAAAATGAGCATGAAGTGACGAAAGTAATGATGTAAATAATAATGAAAGTGTGGAAAAAAAAGAGAGAAATTAAAAACCAGCTGGTGGGCGAGTTGGAGAGCAGCGTCGTGATAAGTAGTTTTGTTACCGGAACTGCTTCCGCAGAAGACACAGATCCTCCTGAATCTTGATTTTGTCTCTTCCATTCTCTCTCTCTCTTTCTGTCTTTTTCCTTCTTTTTTTTTTTTGGGTTCTGTCACTTTCGAAACTTTTTTATTTATAGATAGATAAATATGTGAAGAAGAAGTATACAGATTTGGTTAAGGATCCAGGTCAGGCTGGCTATATCTGACTATAAATACATTTAAATTAAATGAGTTTAGTTGAAGTTATATATATTTGGATCCCGTAGATTGTGACAGCTTTTTTTCCTTAACAATATATTTTAGAATGTGTATAAAATTTCAAGATTAAAATATCAATCAGAGTCATTTGTTGCATACATGTCCAAACCTATATATTTTTCTCAGCATTTAAATATTTTTTTATATTGATATTTACTATTCAATTTACCAAAATTATAAATGCCGTAAATGATATCATATTTGTAATTAAAAATAATTTACTGAATTGTATGACTTAAAATTGATACAACATTATTTTATATCATATACCATGGATGTATATTCATTTAATTAACAAATACTTTAAAGTGATATTATGGTATATATATTATTTTGGAACATTGAGATTGCAATTTGACTCTCATCAGAAGGTTTATCAGACAAGTGTCCACCTCAAAAGAATGAAGAATCCAGTTTTTAGTTAAATGAATGAATAACTAAATAACCATATCTTTGATTAAAGAATCGGTCACTATGCGTATCAGATAAGCTTACTTCGTATTACTCACCAAATCTGTAGAATCTTTTTGTTGTATCAGATAAGTTTACTTCCTATAATCTTATTTAGTCAGCAAATCTGTAGAATCTTTTGCTTTCATACATATAGCTAAATGTTCAATGGCAATGTTAATTAAGCTTACATAAAAGAAAAGAAAAGAAAGAAGCTCCCAATACCTGATGTCGAATTGGTTAAGAAGAATCTGGTGTTGGTTATATTTGGTTGAAGTCTGGTTTAGACTTCAATTCAATTGGTTTATTTGAAGATTGAAGACTCTGCCTTATTCGGAGGCATCGAGAGGCTGAGAACAATTTCAATACTCTTCTTGGCTTAGAGGGTTTCTTGTTTTCTTTTTGTTGCAGATTATACAGTGAACTAGTGATCAGAATGCCACTGTTTAGATTCTATTTTCTTTGCAAATCCAAATTCAGAAAATTGCAGGTTCTTGAAACACACTTACTGACCTTGAAACTCATTTTAACATTGCAGGTTCTTGCCATGTGAGTGTGTGTGTTTTGATGCCTAACACTCTATTATTCAAAATTTGACATCTGCATAAACAAAACCTTTAGCAAGCTGTCTTGATTACAGGGTCTGCATGTGTTTGACTGTCCTGGTCATACACTTTTTTTTCAAAGGATTGGTGGATGCAAGTGGCTTTTCGTTTGTGTTAGAGGAATAATGCTTTTGATCAAGAAACAAAGTTGATCGGTTTGGTTTAAAGGAGAAAAGGGTTAACGATTGGGTGTGACTGAAGCAAACCTCTCTATTCCCTTTCTTCTTTTGTTCAAAACGCTTTTTTGCCTTCAGTTATGTTTTGTCTCTGTCTTTGTATAATTGTATGGCTTTTGGGTCTAAGTTCATACATAGACAACATTTGCTGTTTCACTCTTTATTCTCTAAATTATCCTCTTTGGTCCTACATGTCCTCCGCTACTAAGCATGAATCTTTTTGCTTTTCTAATATAACAAGACTGTATAATATATATTTCCCCTGAGCTTGGAGTAACATTGTGAAAACTGGAAATTGATAGTTGTTTCTCTGTTGGAGCATAACTTGGATAGGTTTCACACCAAGTTAATGACTGTCTGGGCATTTTATCTCATCTTTAGTTTATGGTATAGTGGCAGTATACCATTCTTTTGTTTGGTTATAGGAACCAGAGGCTGTGAGTGTGATAGATTTTGCTGATTGATGAGTGGTCTTTGGATGAAGCCTTACAAAAGGAAACGAGTAAAAGCTGAAAATATGATTAGGGAAGGGGAAAAGAAAAAAACATCTCTCACAGAGATTAAAATTCACACTCCTATTTCAATAACCTTTTAGGACATATACAAGATGCAGTAATCAAAGTGTTAAAAATCTTGTTGGAGATTCCTAGGGAAGGTGAATGGTAAAGCTTTCTTTTCTCTTCTTTCTATGTAGTGGCATGCTTCATGAGACAGATAGATCTATTCATAGAAGAAATTGTAACAGTATAGGCTCCTCATACCAATTCATCCATAATGATCTTTTGATCTATATAGGATTTTAGCATTTCATAGTGGATTATTTCATGCAACATTCACTGGATAGCAAATGAGTTTTGTTTGCTGTTCTCTATCTTTCTTTTGGTGTATATACTTAATGTATACATTTTTTGTCTTTCTAAATAGTAATCACCTTAATTTCGTCTTCTTGTTTCTCCTGTTTTTTTAAGTGAAAGATATGGTATAAAAGTAACATACTTTTATGAAAGTAATGAAAGGAAAAAGATAATTATACTTTTTATACGTTTAGTATATCTTTTAAATATATAAAATAAATGATACACTTTGCATAAAAAGAGAGACACCCACTCAGTAAGCAGTACCCATATTACATCTTTATTTATAATTTGTATGAGAAGTTTGAGATTGAAAATAGTATTAGGGGGTAAAGCTGAGTTGCCTTTGGCTTTTCGTACTGATTTGTCACCACATGTATTCCACTTTGTATTACAAAATCCACTTTGGACCCTTAAATTTGCCTCTCCTACAAGAAAAGCATACACATTCCTCCTCCTCCCCATATATAGTTTCAAGTCCTACTTCTCTGTATACTTTTCTCATAGGCTTACACAAACGTCCCTTAGATTCGTCCCCACTGCATCAATCTTCTGCTAAGATCCTTTTGTGTTTTTGTTATCAAAAGAAAGAGAGTATCATACATAAGTTATAGATACATATATTGAGTATGAGGAGTGGAGGTTACAGTGTCCAGCAAGCCCTCACGCCTGAGGCTGCAACTATGGTGAAACAAGCCATGGCCTTGGCTAGACTGCGAGGGCATGCTCAGGTCACGCCTCTACATGTAGCTAACACCATGCTCTCTGCTTCCATGGGTTTACTCAGAACAGCTTGCCTCCAATCTCACACTCATCCTCTTCAATGCAGAGCACTCGAGCTCTGTTTCAATGTCTCTTTGAACCGTCTGCCAACTTCCACAGGGAGTCCTATGTTGGTCCCTTGCATATCTAACTCTCTGGCTGCAGCTTTTAAGCGTGCGCAGGCTCACCAGCGGCGTGGTTTCATCGAGAGCCAGCAACACCCAATCTTGGTCGTCAAGATTGAACCTGAACAGCTCATAATATCCATACTTGATGATCCTGGTGTGAGTAGAGTGATGAGAGAGGCTGGTTTCTCAAGTCCTCAAGTGAAGAACAAGGTGGAGCAAGCTGTGTCTTTGAAGATTTGCTCCAATAAATCCAAGGCAAAAAATTTACTTACTGCAGCGGTCAAGAACTTCAGGTATATCTTCTTGTGAAACTACTTTGGTTTGGTCATTAAACTCTCACGGACACACACACAAACACACATGCTGCGATCTAATTCAGTCAACTTTATATTTTGAATTAGTGAGATCGAAAATGAAACCATCCTAGAATGCTCAACGGTGACGGATGCAGAAGGTAAGAGAAGAAGCAGCAATGTGATCACAGCTCTCCCAGCATGGCTTCAGCAATACAAGAAGGAGAATCAACAAAAGGACACTGTGAGTTATGAATTATGATCTCATCATTCTCAGTATTCGTATCCTTTAATATTCTAAGACTTGGTATTGTTTTTGGATTTGGCAGGATTCTGATAACTCAATCTGCAATTTAGTCCACAAACGGACATCTGAGAAAACCATTGATCTTTCTTCTCTTTCTCCTTCTTCCTCTTCTTGCAATACTTATGTTTCTACAGATGCCAACTTAAGATTATTCGCACCAGAACATAATAATGACCTCACAACAACGCTCTTGATGAACTCTGCAGCCTCTTCTAGCGATGCAGTAGACATTGAATATGTCTCCAGGTTTAAAGAGATGAATGTTGAAAACCTAGAAACTCTCTGTGATGCCTTAAGTAGCAAGGCACCGAGGCAAAAGGATGTTATCCCTGATATTGCGAGAGCAATATTGAAATGCAGGTCCGGTTCAACACCTAGGAAGATCAGAAACGGGATTCGAAAAGAAGAAACTTGGTTGTTTTTCCAAGGTGTGGATGTGGAGTCCAAGGAGAAGATAGGTAGAGAGTTGGCGAAACTTGTGTTCGGATCAGTTAACAGCTTTGTTCCAATAAGCTTGAGCAGCTTCTCTTCCTCTTCTATGGAAGATCTCGGTAACAAGAGGAGGAGAGACGGAGATAGCTGGAACTACATCCAGAGATTGTTCGAAGCAGTGTCTTGTGATCCACACAGAGTGTTCTTTGTCGAAGATATAGAGGAAGCTGACTATTTATGTCACATGAGTTTCAAGAAAGCCATTGAGAGAGGAAAACTTCAAAGTGGAAGTGGTGAAGAAGCGTTTCTTAAAGACGCAATCGTGATCTTGAGCTGTGAAAGATTCAGCTCGAGATCATCAAGACCATGTTCGCCTTCAGAGGATGATAGAAAGATGAGGAGCCCTTGTGTATCTCTCGATCTAAGTCTTTCTATTGATCATGATGATAATATTCATGATGGATATTGCAGTGATCATATTGGATTACTTGATGCTGTAGATGCACACATTCTTTTTAGCGTGTCGTCAACATAGATTCATGTGATTTCACTACCTTGGTCATGATCTTGGTACATACTAATATGACATGGTAACGTGTTTTTTCGCCTTGGTACAATTTTCTATTTTAGCTTATCAATCCATCCTCCTATTCGATCACTTTTTTCGAGTAAAATTCATACTTTATAATTATCCGACTGATCATATTGTAAAGTCTTCGAATATTAACTTTATACTGCCACCGGCAAATAACATATGGTTGATCATCAATATGATAGTATCAATCAATATCTACAGCATCTAGCTTTTAATTATACTTGATCAAAGTATGGTAATAAAAATGATCCATGACGTAAGAGTTGCACAAAGGAGAAGTTACTTTTCTAAAGAAACAAATCAAACTGAAGTAGATCACACCGAAGAAAATCAAAGGATCACTTTAAAACTTTTCTCACTTTCTAATAATTATTCGAAGTAGCCGTCAAAAAAGAATTCGTTTACTACCTCTGTTTTTTTTTTTTTTTTACTTTGGAAAGGTATGGATTAGCTTGAATAATATATAATTTCTCTTAAAAGAAAATTAAAAGCAAAAGATAAACCCATGAAAAGAAGGATTAAGTCGGAAACAAGAGGCATCTTTATATATGCTTTTAGACTAAAAATATATATAAGATATGTACTAAAATAACTTTAAAACATTATGGCCAAAGAAGGGTCTTTGTCGTATTGAGGTTATCGTGACTTTTATTTGAAAAAAAAAAAGAATAAAAGAAAGTGTTTCTTATAATATTCAAGTATGAAGAGCCGAACCACTTTACATAATAAACGTAAGCATATACAAATCACAGACATGTAGTGGCTGTGGCAGGCGCATTGTTTTGCTTGAAAGATTTATTTACGTTATGATCACCATTCATCAATCTCGGCTAAAGCCTGCAATCTAGGCATAACACCAAATGAAACAGATTAGTCTACGTATTAATATGCCACATTAGTCCATCTGTATCATACATTATTTGTAACTTTTTCGCATAATTATGTACAATGGATATACCAAATCTTCGTTTTTTTTTCAACGTTTGATATTTTCAGGTTCATGTACATTAAAATAAGAATAAACTTATGTACTTTTATTCAATAAACTTTAAAATATAAAGACACCCAAAACAGAGGGTACAACCATACCAGAGCAAATGTCAAAGACTCGTCAAAGAGTGTATCAAGAAATTTGATTATAAGCAAAACCAAGTCCTCGAGACGACATATAGGATTGAATTACCCTTTTCTTCTCACACTCTTCGGCAATAACTTGCGCCATATATTTTTCTGGTCAGCATGCGCTTAAGTAAATATCAATTACGTAAAATAATGTTTTATTTATATATAACAAGGGAAGATGAACAAATGTATACAATAGGCTCTATAGAAGATAAGTGAGAATGGTGCTGAGAAAATAAAAATAAAAGAACCAATGTATGTGATGGACTGGAACAGAACTCAAGACTCAAAAATCGAAGTCGCACTTAATTGGGAAAACGCTGGAAGAAGTTGTAGTTCCGTTGGAGGTACTTAAAGGAAGCATTAGATCGTCGCAATTAACCTTAGGCTTAATCCTCCGAAACTTCAAGTCCCCAAGCTTAAACCTAACCCTAAGCCTGAACTTGATCTCTATATTGTAAACACCGGAGATCTTTTCCACGTTCAAAGTCCGAGACTGTTTGGCGTTAAAGATAACAAGGTTTTGGCCTTGGAACGTTGGTGTGAGAACGGTTGTGTTTTTGTGTCCTTGATAGAAAGGAGTTAACGTGGTGGAACTAAACCGCTTTCCCTCGTAGTAGGCATGAGCTTCGATCCTGTCGTAGTAGACTCCGATCCTCTTGTTAGGGTTACGGACAGGGACAGTGAGGGCTAGGTTATACCTTAAAATGTTGTCCGTGGAAGTGTGTTCAAAGCGGGTAAGGGACGCATCGGTAACGTGGAACTTGATGGCACGGGGACGGACGATGAGCCAGAAGACTAGAGCGGCTATGCCGAGGATGACAACAAGGGATATGATGACTTTGACAAAGAAGCTTAGGAGGCAGCAGCCACAGCCTCGACCGTGCCCACGTCGGTAGTAGCCTTTGGGAGCCGGTGGTGGGATAGATGGACCGTAGAAGGCGCCGTTGAGAGGTTGTTCAGCCATGTTTTTAGTAATGTTGTGGCGATCAAGTTGGAATAAATGGGTATATATGGCTTATAAAAGAGGTTGATGTAAGTCCTCTTTATATACACTTTTCATTTGTGCGTTTGTCAACTTATAGATTAAGGTATTGTCACGCTACGCGGGATTTGGTTGAATATTTGACCAGAGTATTAATATTATGCAATTGTAGGCTTTGTGATGTTGCCCCATAATTTCCAATAACGAGTATTTTACATAAGATCATATATGTTTTCAACTTTTGGTCTCTCACCGTACGTTGGTTTTTCATAGTTTCTACTTTCTAGAACCTAAAGGGCCGCCTGTGTCAGCATAATTAGTCTGATTTTTTTTTTTTCATTCTTAACCAAAACAAAAGTGATTAAGTTTAAAAATGTTTAAGTAGAGGCGAGTGATTTAAATAGTTCTCGGTTTTTACATTTTCATCTTTTGACGTAAATATATTTATTAGATTTTGTATTTTACATAATATAGGTAAATATAATGTATTTATCCGAATTAAAAAGAAAAAAAAATTGGAAGATTTTTAATAAAAGATGCCAACAAAAATGGAAAATAGTACCCAAACAAATAAAACCAAAAACAAGACATGGACCTAGGCCTATGCTCTTATTAAGCCCATCATAATTAAGACAATCTCCATAACGGTTGCTAGATAAGAGCTTTGTCTAGATAATAAAAAAGTTATGATCGATGTAACAATATTTTTTGTAGGTAAATTCTAACAGTTGTAATTCTCTTCCTTCTCTTGTTTCCTTTTTTTGGTATGTCTAACTCTAATCCATTCAGGTTCTTCTAATTCGCATGTGATCCTAGCTAAACAATGTGTCTGCCGACTTCCCAAACTCATTAAGTGACAACCGATCTAAAACCTTACAAACAAACAAATATGATATCTATAAAGCTGTCCCCTCCAAATAATTCATATACGGTACTGTATTCGAATCTGATTTTACTTGAAAGTTGAAACCTTCTTATCTCCTCCAATCATTTTCCTCCTCACAAATTTTGCTTATGAAATTAATATTGCATATTTTAGATCAAAGTCCACTAACAAAAATAAATATTCCAGCAATTTATGTGACATGTAGTTATAGCCTTGTACGAGCCGATTCAAAAAAATCTAACAAGAATACTTTGTATACAAACTATAGTGTCATGACAGTATAATTTACGAGAAGATCAGCATAAACAAAAGGGTATACAAATATAAACCATATAAAAGCAAAAACATCATCCTCAGTAGGAAGAAAACTGAACAGAAGAAGAAGTAAAGAGTGATAGCAAACTTTTCAACGGCGTCAAGGTTTGTGTCCTGTTTGCCTAAACGTTGACACTGCACTTAGCTGCGTCAGTGACCATCTTAACGGCATTTTCGCCGACATGAACTCCGGCGGCTTTATCATTCAGATTTATATATGCCGGACAACGGACATGGAGATGATACTTACCAGTGATAAGAGTCCCGACCTTCCACCTCACGCGTCCATCGGCGCGTATAATCAACGAGACTAGCCCTCCGTTCTGCTCGTCGTCCAGAGCCATGGCGTTGAAAGGAGCGACGGAAACGGCGTCTCCATATATGAAAGGAGACCAAACGTTGCCTTCTTTGTGGCCTTGGTACGTCGGAGGAATAGCCGTACGTAGAGTGATCTGTTGGTTCCTGTAAGTAGCGTAGACGTGAAGCCGGTCGTAGTAGATTCCGATCTTGGAGTTTGGGTTACGTGAAGCTAATGTGACCTGAAAGTTTGAGCTGAGGAGGTTAGGCTGCGAGAGGTTAAAGGCGTAGACGGTGGCGTCTTGGAGTATGAATCTTGGTTTTGTTGGTCGGAGGATTAGCCAAACGAGCAGGATTGCTATTAAGACGATGATGATTAAGCCGATGATGGCTCCGCAGATTCTACTGACGGTTCCTCCTCCGCCACCACCGTGGTTTTCACAATCTTTGGACATTAGTATTAGTTATCTCCGGTTTTGCCACTAGGCTTTGTTGTATGCTGGATGGCGAGAGAGAGAAGAGAGCGAGACTATGGTTAATATTTATATTGGTAATTAGAAGTGGTATAGTTTTGTGACTTTGTGCACCTTTTTGTTTCTAATTTAAACTTAGCGCTTTAGGCTTTAGAAAATAATGAATCATTACTTCTAATGCAAACTATCAAATTAGTCTTTCTTCGCAGAGAAAACAAAAAGTGATTTTCTAATTTGATAGTGCGCTTGCATTCAAAGAGTTATGTAGAGAATGTAAATGTGCACTCACGGATGGAATGAGTTTTTAACTTTTTTTACTCAAATAATGTAAGAAATGTATCAATCAGTCTATATGGATAGAAAATTTTGTAGGGAAACGAAGGGGTGGACATAAATCAATATTCATATAAACTTAATGCTATTTTAGCTTTTAGTGTGGCTGTATCTTCTACCCTACCATTTTTAAGAGGGTGGTGCAAGGTTCACCCATGTTTGCATATGCACAATGAACGATGACTCCTCACAGGACGAAACTACCCTTTTCAAACCAAAACAAAAAAAACAGTAATAGTTTTATAATATGTGTATTTGTATAATATAAAATTTTAAAGAAAGAAAAGAGTAATTTATAGTCCATGGGTCAAGAAATTTTGTTTATAGTAGTAGTCCATAAAAATTATTTGAAGACTAAAAAAGAAAACAAGTCCAAACTGTTTTGGATATAGGCAGATTTTGGCCCAATGAAGAACTGAGAATGGATTTTTGGAATTAGCCCACCACCATAAGCAAGTAAGATCACAGTACTGATTGTATACTGAAAGCAAACTTAACATTCTCAAAGTTGTCTACTTTTCTCCATTAAGTACAACTCTGAAGTTGAGACACATACCAGATTGACCCAAAAACTAGCTCATAGTACCAAAAAGAGATATTTAGACTTAAATTCACCCATACTAGGTCGACATCTTTAAACTTTGTCCTGATTATTATTTACCTCCTAATTGATAATAACCAAAAGACCTATTTTAGTAGTAACAACTACTCGAGCTTGTCCCATCAGAAAGCCCAGTCCTTGGAGAAATCCATGTCTGGAGGCAAATGATAATGACACTCATCCTTCTGTTGCTGCTGATCCTGCCTTGTAGTAGTCATTACTCCTCTTCCTTCTTTGGTGAATAACTCTTTCTCACTTTGATTCGCTTTCCTTTGCTCTGCTTTGGCTCCAAGTAAACCAAACAAAAAACAAAAAAGTTCAGAGATTTTGTCCTTTTTGTATTGTACCAACCAAAAACATGCAACGAACTAAGTCTTAGTTTCCATTATACTTCAAGATAGTTTCAAACTAAAGGTGAGTAAACGAAAAAGCTTAGTTTTGGCAAGTCGTAGAGAAAAAGAAAAGTGAAGTCGCTTACTACGCTTCTTCACGGAGGTCACAGTCTCCACGGAGGTCACAGTCTTAGTAGCTGGACGCTGAAGAGGGTGGAAAACGCCGGTTCCTTTAGATTCTCTTAAAACGTTGCAGTTTCGATGAACCAAACCTCCATTGTGCAACCGTGCTTCTTGCCTCTGCAAAACCTTAGCTCTATCTTGCTGCGACTGGAACCACCACTCAAAAGGAAAACAAACGATTGAGAGCGAGAGAGAGGGGATCAAAAGAAAGTTATAAAGTTTGCATTTTTATATACCTCATTTTTGCGGATCCTTGAAAGATGAAGTTCATAAAACGCTTCAAGCTTGAGCCTTTCTCCGTACGATCTCTGATCAGTTTTAAGACCTTTAGACCTAAACGACTGGAAAAGAAAACCCACACCAAAACACGATCATGAACATTGTGAAAATGTGAAACAGAGGGAAAAAAACGAAACTTGTGAAAATGTGAAACAGGGAGAGACAAAAAGAAAGGACCTGCTGGAGACTCGAAGGTAAAACAGGAGTAGGTATGGGTTTAGGAGTAGGAAGAAGAGAAAGCGAAGAGAACTGGTCAGAGAGTGTATCGACCACGACGTCGGAAACGTACGGATGATCACGGTGGTTGCGGCGGCTGAGTGAGTTGAATCCTCCGACGGCAGTATCGAACAGATGAGAACGAAACCCCATTTCTTCAACGCCGTAACCCAAATCCACACGAAACTGATGAGATCTCGCCATGAAAGATCGAGAAGAAACAAAACAAACCAAAAATCTCTGCTTTGTAAAAAGAGTGGGTTTGGTTGGCGTTACAGACATGAAAACATATATCCACTTTTTTTTTTTTTTGCGAAGGTCACGTGATCCACTCTCCCACTCGCTCATTATCTATGTGAAGCAATGATATGATGACACGTAATGGCCAGAAGATATATTCAAGAGCAGATCCGTTGGCGCGTGTAATGAACGCTTTCAAAAGCGGAGTGTTTAAATCAATTCTGCAACCGCCGCAGACACTTAGCCACCAATTATGATGCCTACACGTGTCAGAAACTGTTACCTATTGGTTTCGTTTATGAAGTGTGTGCTTGTGTATGTTTCCTTTACGTGCACCTTCCTCGATCTTTTGCAATGTTATAATACAAACTGACTTTATAAAAAAAAAAAACACGTTTTTTGAAGGGTAAACTGAAGTTTATGAGTGTTGAACAAGAATAAAAACCAAAAAAAAAAGTTTATGAATAATGAATTTATGAGTATGTATGGGAAAGATAAAATAAGTGCCAGCTTTCCAAAAGGACAGGAATTGCATCGGAAAAGTAAACTACAATATATGGTCGAAAAGAATTAATAAATTAGTTAAATCTTTTTGGGTCCAAAATGGGCTCATCTTAGGCTCACATGGAGATGATTGTGTGATCACAACCTAGATGATTGGTTTTGTTTAATGGGCCTTTTAGATTCCCCACCCTCTCTGTATTATAACCAAGTTATTGGGTTCCATCTATTTTCATATTTCGAATTGGGTTATAGACTTTGAATGGGATATGTTGTTTTGGGACAGTCTTTTTAGTAATGAGTATATCAACTGTAAGCACGAGTCTACGAAAATGATCAACAGAATTTGTTCACAAAGATTTCGTTAATCTCACCTCAAGGGTAATAGCTTCCAGTAACGTAGTCAGTAGTTGCAAGTGAAAAAGCTTGTAGGCATCATCATCTATATAGGCTTCGAGTAACATCACGGGTAAGTGAAGTGGTGATAAGAGATTAGGTAGTAGATTGCAAAGAATAATTAGTGGGAATTATGAGCGAGGATTTTTGGAGGAAAAGTACTTACAAAGTTTTTTTAAGTACTCGATACCTGTTTTTCAACTCATGCTATAGTGTATGTTCATATTTGGTAAAGGCGTAAAGCTGATATGTTGTTATTTGTCTTTTCAGACATGTGGTTTTTGTTTACCTTCACTACAGTCTACAGACAGCGAATTGTACTTTCTCCTACCAATGCTATATGTGTATATAATTGCCTTGATCAGTGCCATTTATATACATGCATGCACAACATTCTTTTTAACCTAACCATACTTAAATAAATTCATATTACATGTTGAATTATACGTTTATAATAATTAGTGATAACCTTTAATAGTAAACAAATATGTACTATACTTTTTTTTAAGAGTAGGATACTACTTTGGATGGTGTTACTTTTCTTTTGTAAAAGTTTCATGAAACCGAATTAAACGACTACAACTAATTAATGTCAAGCCATATTATTCTTTATACAATAGTGTTATGCATGCACGGTGTCAAATTGTCATTTGTCAATGCTTCCTAGTTTCTTCAGTAAGGTAATCTTTTACTTGATTACTAATTATGGTTATTCACTCAAAGTTCTTATCTTTTTTCAAGTAATGTGGAGATATCGCATATGAGTTTAGACCAAAAATGGAAAAGCTCAGTTCAAGAATAGCCCATAAAGCCCACTATATCAGCACAATTTATATTTTAAAATTGTCTACCAGACTTTTCGTGGGATAGGGTAAGTCTAAAATAATCGACAAATTTAATCGGATTTCTCGTCAAATTGTGAGTTATTAAGATATCAGATATCCAAATCGTATATTTCTAACTGGTTGAAGAAAGTCCAAAACATATGTACACTTTTGTTAGCTTTTTTCTATATACTGATTGTTTCACCTAAAACTAAAAGACACGACTAGGGAGATCCGATAATGTAACATGTCAATATAACGGTATATACAAAGGAAGTTTTGTTTTTTGTAAGAAAAAAAAAATTAAAACGAAGTCTTAGGTAAAGCACAAAAATCTCTTTTGGCAGAGCAATCTCAGCCCCAAGTAAAATTCTTTATTTGGCACAATACATTAGAATTTAGGATTCGTACGACATGTAAACTTCTTTTTTTCTCAGGAACTGACTTAAAAAGAAGTTTGACTTTTTACAGATTATGAATATATTGGAAGCACAAGTTACATCAATGTGAATACAAGTCTAGTTCTCATATGTATATGTTTTATTTTATTTAGTACATGCATGCTACTCACTTTCTCATGGACACATGTTGTTTTCTATGAACCTTAATCCCAATCAATTGAAATGATAGAAGAAAAAAGGATAAATTGTTTTAAACTAAAAACAAAAGATAGTATGGGGATATTTTATGTCAATTGCCTTCTATTTTGATTTGAATTTATTATTTAAAAATTGGTTAAGAAAATGAAAATGAAAATAAAAAGAGACATGTAGGATACCACACTATGGTGTAGCAATGTGAAAGTTGGAATCTCATTATTGAACAAGAATAAAAAAAGCTTACAACTTGCTCTTCAAAAAAGTTATTGCTAAGGCCCCCATATCCCTACTATTCCCCATTCATGTTTTCATTTTTTCTAGTTCTCTTACTTTAAAAGTTATTTTAATTATCATCCTCTATGTAAAAGATCATCATCACATAATTTTGTTGTTACACAACTTTGGAACTACTCATATATATATATATATATATATATATTTTTACGAGATGATAGCAAGATCACGCCTGGATCCGCTTTAATCTTCAAAGATAAAAATTCGGTAAAACTCCATATTCCTCATGGGATCGAACGAACCATTGCTAGGACTAAATCGATTATTCTTTATCGTGTGATTATATTTATCCCACTTAAAGATTTAGTAGAACCAATCCTAAGTCTGAATGAGAATAATCTTAGACTCGTGGATCACACGATATATATCTATAAAGTTGGTTCTATGGTTTATATTTTTGTTTTAAAGGATTAGGTTTTAGGAGTTTCAAATGTAGAATTTGGCATTTTGCGTAGGAACTCTAACTACATAGGATGGACTCTTCTTTTAAGTAATTCCAGTACTGCTTCAATATGTATATTGCACTATTCATGCATACGCGTGAAAAATGTCATGATTACTATACTTTTTTTTATTCTACAAATCTGTTTAGTTTTAGAAATATCAGAACATAAGTTGTGTTTTGCTCATTAGAATTAGTATTATTTTATTGGGTTCTCTTCTTCTCTCCTTCTATTGATATGAAAGAAAAAGTTCATTTTTCAATATTTGATAGCTTTATGAATTTAAGTATTATATTTGTTAGTGTTGTGCTCGACAAAATGAAACACAACAAAAGATTGACATGAGGGTTATGTATATCAATGATTCTGATAGTGAAGTGAATATTCATATTTTATATATGTACACAGACACATGCATATTGATACACCAATATAAAAACATATACACACATGCAGTTATACACACAGTCACAAACTCATATCTCGATACAGCTTTATTAGGGACCCCAATCCCTATATAGAACCAGATTCCATGCTTCATATGTGTTATAACTAAAATTTGTGGTCTAAGAATTCTATACCGATTACGATATAAACAAACAAGCACGATCTTAACTTTCACTTTTACCAAATGTATGCATCTGTCTCTCTCTCATCATACATACAAAGTATACACAAAGATATTCAGAATTCTTGTGAATAATTAGGGTGAAGGGTTACTAAAACTAACCTTTATATTTGCCATTTTAATATGTATGCATGTTCTGTCTTCTTCGAACAGCCAGTTTTTCTTCTACTAAAACGTCAAACATATCCATAGCATACATACACATCAATAAAATTCCATAACAGTAAGTGTGAAAAAAACCCATAACTGTTCTCACCTATATGAATAATATTTAGTTATTATATCTTTCATATCCAAAATATGTATATGGCATTGTTATAAAAATATCAGAAATTAAACTGGAGTTAGGCAATTATTGTGGTGTAGCCTTTTTTGAGTGTTGACCTATTTATTAAAGGGCCAATGCTAGCCTTGTCTTTCACCCAAACTTCTGTAACATAAAATTCAATGCTGTCCCTAAAGAAACTAGAATTGATTTATTCTCAAAACATCAATCTATTAGAAACAGAGGCAGAATTAAGTTTTAACATGCTTAGGCATATCAATAATTCAACATCATATACTATATGACTATAAACCGTCCCTTATGTACATTAACCGCTACTAAGGAAGCGATATATTAGTATATACAAGCAAATATAAACCATAAACAACAAGAACTATAATTTCATTTATTCCGATCCAGGAATCTTTCACCGCGCAGTTTGCTGCGATAACTCGGCCTGTCTTAGTGTCCTTATGTTTGAGGAATAGTTTAATTGCCGTCATTTTTACTCACGACTTTCAAATAGGATGCTATTTAATCTTATTTGGATTTTCACAATAGGGTTAGCTAACCGAGAGAGCTTCTAACAGTACTGTTTGTCTCTATGAAAGAAAAGAAAAACAATTTCCTTTTTAATTTTTCTGACATCTCCAAAGAATCAATATTTACAGTCACTTTCAAATCATGAATAACCTAGGCAATTTCTTTTTTCTTTAACTTTCATATATATACACACTACCCCGATGCAGGTAGGCCTCGTCAAATTGATTGGATTGCATTAAAATGGAAGTCAATAATCAAAAGTCAGGCTGCTTTGCCCACCCTTTGACCGCATAATTATACAAATGTGATCATATCTCTTTGTTTCTTTTTTTACTTTTGAACCAAAGCCTCATTACCATATCTATATAGCCGCCGAAATAATGACCATTGGTTCTTCATAACCCTTCCACTTTGTGACAACATATAAGTTCGTAGAGATGCTCATACGTACACAACATATAGGTGTAGGACATATATATAGTCACAGATTTTTGCATTTTTAATTTCACACCTAGAAATCTATCCCCCCCCC